CCCTCACCTTTTTGGATTTAGCTTGGTCTAAGATGCTGACAGTTTCCCAGCAATCAATCACCCAGATAAGCAGAGATTACCACCAGGCTCAGAGAACCCCAAGGACTAACACATTTATTAGTGGTGTTATTTGACTTATTAATTGAATCCTTCTGAGATCCATAAAAAATATATTTTGTACTGTCTGATGCATTAAAATGGTCTGTCACACATGTACATGTATGGCCTCTCTATATATTTATATAAAGGGGAAGAAAAAATGACGAGATGCAAAGTAGTAAAATGAAATAATGTGATTTAAGTGTGAATTTAAAAAAAAATACAAAAACTTAACTCTTGCTTGCAAATTAAAGACATGTAAAAACCCAACCAAAGTTATATAAGTTCAGATCCAGGGATGTCCAGCATATTCTTTGTAAATATGAAAGATAGTAACTTTTTCCAGTGAAGCTGGAAACTGATTATATCTAGCAAGTTTCTTCTTGTCATCGACATATATTTATCTAGGTATTTCCAGAACAAAAGGCCCATTTAATGTTCAAAACCTGTGAAGGTTGGTGAAAAGGCTACTTCGATTAGTAGGGCAGAGCTTCCCCAATTCTGCCAAGCCCTTCTCTGCCGTGATATGATGGCTTTAATCTATTCTCAGATGTTTGGGAGAAGAGAAAGAGTGGGAGAGAAAGAAAGGAATGGAGTGATGAAGGCGTTTTCTTTTTCTTTCCCCATCGTTCTCATCTGTTCTTTAGCTCATCCAGAGTTATGTTCATAGCACCCTGCTTTTCTGGAGAGCTGATACCTGTGGTCAAACAGTAGAAATAATGCCATTGTGAATTCTGAGTAAGTTTTGACAGTAAAGGAGGGCCATGCGGTTGTGCGTGTGAAGCACTGCTCATATCGATTCATTCCATCTGCCTGTCTGATGCTCTCTGATAGCTGGTTCTAGATTAAAAATGAATTAAAAAGCACATTTCATCTGTTTTGCAATATTATAGAGCCTAGCCCATTTTGGTTTTAAGGGGTTTAATAGGGTTATTGGTTTTAATTTGGTTTAATGGGGTTATTCTTTTTATTTTTATCTGTATTTTGTTTATTGTTTTTTGTTTGTCTTAATTACGTGAGCTGCCCAGAGCCATGAATGTGATGTGGATGGTTATAAAATTGAATGAAAGAATGAATGAATGAGCAAGCAAGCAAACAAACAGGCAAGCAGGGCTAGCCAGAAAATGTCTCCAGAAAATGCACCTGTGCTAACCTTGCCTGTGGCTTGTTCTTAATTTTCTGCTGCTAGATGTTAAGGTACTAAATTGTCTCAGACAAATTTCTCCTCTTTGAATTGGTTTGTCATATTAATGGTCTAAAAAACCCTGGGTAATTTACTATCATCTCAAAGAAAAAAAGGACTCTGCCTGTATCCTGAGGACTGTAACGACATCTTAAAATACTACGGACTGAAGAATAATTAAGCAGATTATTAGATTTTTTTGATCCATAATCTGCTTAATTATTCTTCAGTCCGTAGTATTTTAAGATGTCACTACAGTCCTCAGGATACAGGCAGAGTCCTTTTTTTCTTTGAGATGATAGTAAATTACCCAGGGTTTTTTAGACCATTAATATGACAAATCAATTCAAAGAGGAGAAATTTGTTTGAGACAATTTAGGGCCTTAACATCCAGCAGGTATCATAACCTAGAAAAGGCTATCATTCTGACATTCTTACTGGGAATAGTCAGCCCCACTGAGGGCTCTTGTAACCATTAGTATCACTGTAATTTGTGTCAGGCTTCTCCCAAGTGGTGCAACACTTACATTACGGCAGCAATGTGAGAAGAAAGAATGTTGCGATGCCTGTTACAGCCTCAGAATGTTATTAGATCGTATCTTTATATCTTTATCCATAAAGAAAACCCAACTGCTGTCAAACTTCACTCAGGTTCACTCAGCAATTTATGAATTTGGTCCAAAAGCATTTAGCAAGGAAAAATGCTGCTCCTCTCTAGGTTGTTTCTTTTTGATTTCTTATTCAAAAATCTTTTTGCCAAGTTGACTGAAGAAACATCTGCACATAGATGATGGATTTCTCCACCTTACTAATATTTTCTGAATGAAGGCAGGATGGTGTTGTATCAATCAAAGGAGGTACACTGCAGACAAAATGTATGTGATGACTCGGACATGATTAGCTGTTGAATACGAAATGTGTTTGGCAGATTTAGACTTAGAAATTCAAACTTGCTAATGCAGAACAGAATTTGGTATGAGTTAGACTGCCTTGTGGTACCATCTTTTCCTAGCTATTTTATGTCTAAATTAAGCTAGAGAGAATGCAGCCCCACCTGATCATCACCATCACCAACATTTTGTTGACCATGCCTGTTCTGTTTCTTTACTATCCATGAAAAGGATGCGGCTTTCCAAATCTCATAGTTGTTCTTTGGTCAGTTACCAAAAACAATTCAGTCATGACATTATATTTATTCTATGCAAATTAGCTATAACATTTTAGCCAAAGTATCTGAACACTAACAAACTGAATGTCTAATTTAAAAGTACTGAGTAGCGTTGGGCTTTGTTTCCCTACCTCAGATGAAGTGAACCTAATGCAAGAATAAATTGGTTTGGCATGTGTTAACAAAAATGACAGAATCTTGTTGCTGTAAGTCATATTCTTTTAAACAGAACTACGTATACTTATACATTCAGTTCAAATACCCCAAATAAGCCAAATTGTGCACACTATCTTCTAAAACAGCCTTACTGTTTTATTGGCTCACATGCCTTCATGAGGATTAAAATACAAGAAGATTAAACCTGATGTATCTCATGTACAGGTAAGCATTATTCAGGTTTGATTTTACCCAACTCGAGATTTTCCTTGAACAGTATTGAAATAAAGAGGAAGATTCTGTTTTAACACTAGAAGAGCTAAGAACTGTCTCACACGTGGGCTGGGGAGAAGATTAAGGCAATGTTGTAGAAATATGGCAGAAAAAGGAAGTTGCCATATATGTTTGTGCCATGATTAGGTACAAGTTGTGAAAGGCACTAAGGGAAGTTGAGAACTTTGATTCCAACTTTTAAAGCCTTAGCATATAAACAGAACAAAG